ATTCTTTGAAATATATCGAGGAGAATTTCTGTTTTGATTACTCCGAAGCAAAATGATTGATTGAGTCACTCGGTACTTTCACATTGTGAATTAAACCTTTCAAATATTATGCTTCCTTTCAAGGGAAGTCGAAATCTAGTCGTCATGTTAGTATCGACAGGATATCCAAGTATGATATGTGTGTATCATTCTGATTTTGTTGGGGAAAAATTGGTAAATATGTAATGATTACTCTAGCTCTTATTTTGGGATTATTGAAGAGATATGGGAGCTTAACTACGTTAAGTTTACTACGTTAAGTTTTGTTGGGGAAAAATTGGTAAATAAGTAATGATTACTCTTTACTGCATATTCATTAATAATTATGCGGGAAACACTCCGGTGTTTGTGATAACATGTGGATGCATATGAGAGTTCATCTCTGATGATTCCAAGCTATCACAGAAACTTCTGTTATATGCATTTTTTCATTGAAGCCGAAGTGTTCTATGGATTATATTAGAGAGTGCCTGATGGTTGTGATTTAGCCACCATAAATTCGGGTTATTTAGGCAGTAGTAGTTTATCCTATGCAGTTTGCGGTTTTGTATTAGTTGGAGGCGTTAGATTAATGAATGTGTGAATGTTCCTGCAGGTTGATCTTAACCAGGCCGTGAACATGGTCGCCTATTATGTTTCATCTCCAGAGCCTGCTCAGATTCATGGAAAAGCTGTGTACATACAATACTCAAACAGGCACGAAATAGTTAACAACAAGAGTCTCGGAGATGTTCCAGGAAATGTCTACTTGCCACCATCGAGGGTGTTGAAGCGGGTGATGTCAGCATTGAGGTCCTTCAATTGGTAATCCAGGACTTTTGGCATTGTGAAATATTTTCAGCATTGAGTAACCTGTGAATATTAAATTTTTTTTATATTAAAATTGTTTGATGAGTAAAGATAACCTTTCGTTGGCTTGTTGGGTTAAAGATTTTTGCCCTTAATTGTGATTTTTCACATCTCATTTAGAAGTTCTCTCTTCCTTATTTGTTTCGTGTTCACCATGATTATATGACTTCAGTATGTATGACAGTTTGCGTGTAACGTTTATATTTGATTTGTTTGGTATCACATGATTGTGGTTTCCAGGATGTGAGTCAACTTGCAATCTTTTGGTCATAGTTCGTATGGAGAAAGTTTAATTATATGTTTCTTCAATCTTGAATCACATCGAATCACCAATTACAAGTTTACAGAAGAAACCCATAACATTAGCCTCTTTATTACATGTTCATGCCAAGGAAGCTCTTGAGGGCCATTGCATGTATTGATGGTGACTATTGTAAGCTTCATCTATCATTCTCTCATCATACTGATCTCAATGTCAATGTATAAAAATAATGCTTTCAACAGAATAAGTCAATTAATAACAAAAATAGTAAAAACTATGATATAAAATAGCAAGACCAGAACACCGGTCATATCCAAACCAAATTAATGTGACCCTGAATAAATTAAAAATTAAAAAAGAAAGGACTTTGCTCCCTTTCGTGTAAGTTTTTCGACTCGAATTTGCACTTCCAGCCAGGGGCGAGGCCAGAAATTTTGGTTGCTAGGGTCGGGGGGTCTTACACGGTGTCTTATATAGATCCGCCCCTGCTGCCGGGGTCTTATTATTTTTTTAATGGGGTCTTACACGGTGAAATTTTGTTACGTACAAGTGGTTCAACGCAAAGCGTCGGTGTCGGACGACCCCAGCCACTGAACGTAGCTTCGCCACTGCTTCCAGCTAATCATTCTTTTCCTCTACAAAACTAACTTATTTATGGTTGTTTTATTATTGTAGGCTTACAGTGACAAAAGCATAGATTACACGATCTCTTTTATCACTCGCTATTACAAAAGTTTTGTAATGAAGAGAAGTAGAGTAGGATCTAGCGTTTGTTTGGGGCTTTGGCGCACCAAATTGTACGCGTGTTAAAAGAGAGCTCTATGCCTCTATGTGTCTAATTTGGTGGTTGTGGCCTTTCAAGTTTTTGTGGTCCACTCTTTTTTTTTACAAAAAAACAGAATAAGGAAAAAAACAAAAGGAACTGCAAAATTGTGTTTTGTTGGACATGAACCAAATCCATATGGGGCTATGTATTTTGACCCGAATCTCTAAAAAATAGGTCAATAGTAGTACCCAATTAAGTTGAGTTTTCTGATTTATTGCATTGTAAAACCAAAGGAAAACAAAAAATGAAATTCTTATGGTTTGAATTGAAAGAAAATTTATTTCATTACTCATGTAATACTTCAACCAAAATTTTATTATTATTATTATTATTATTATTATTATTATTATTATTATTATTATTATATATTTACATATAATTATGTAAGAGGATCAAACGTGGATTTAATGGTCAGTCCATAACATATTATTATAGTGATAATGTATAAGATTTGATACATTATTATGGTGATAATTTATATGATTTAATTGATTATGCGTTCTGGCTTGGGATATAGAATTTCTGGCCAACATGTGAACTGGTTGAATATAAACAATTTTAATTATAAGAAGCTAAAATCAGGTACAACATATAAAATAAAAAGAGGCTGTCAATTTTCACGCGTGGTCCTTATAAAACAATGTGCGATTGCTTGAAAATCGATCTACCAGGAGAGCTTAAATGGTAAGCAGTTTGATGTCGCTTAAGCAAGATCTCGAGTTCGAGTTTTTGTAAATGTAGAAAACTCTTGTTGGAAGACTCACCCACCATTGTTAGGTGTACGACCCGGGTAGACCAACGGATTATTCAGGGCAAAACTACGGATACCGTGGCTAGCTACCCAACAACAACAAAAAAAAAAAGAATAGTACGTACCAAATACCAATAAACTGTAGTAAATTTTAATCATAAAAAATGATTGAATAATTATGATATATCGGATGTTTTACTTTAATTAGCAACTCAAAAATAAAATAGAAACCCCTAAATTCAACACACACACACACACACACACACACACACACACGTACACACACAAACACTCACGTGCTGATTTATTGATTTGTTGGACGTCGCCTTCTTTGGAACCTCAAAATAGTATATTGCCTTAAATACACTACCAAATAAATCCTAAAAGTTATTGTCCATGATTTAAAAAAAAAAAAATAAAAAAAATGTTATACTATATGATAAAAGTGAACTAATTGATAAAAAAATGTTAGTTGGTTCCCTTGTGGATCCGGAAACCGGAAGGTCCCTGTACCAAAAAAAAATAAAAAAAAAAATAAAATAAAATCTTATACTATATGATAAAAATGAACTAATTGAATTATATGCAGTCCAGGGTACAAAGCATTTACAAAAACACCAGTGCTCGTGTCTGCATGCTTTTGCTTTGGACCCCATCCATGTGACTCACTAGTCACAAACTGTTTTCATGAGAAGATAGGTTAATCACAATTTCATTAATTGTCCACTTGACTTTTCGAGTTGCTCGTAAATTCGGTTCAGTTTCATCCGTTAAAAGTTCGAGTTTGACTCGTTAAACCAGCCAGACTCAAGTTCGTTTAGTTAACAAGCTGTTAAGGCTCGAAAAATATAATATGTTATGTAATTTTTTAGCCCTCGAGTATTATGAGTTAGACATGTACTCGATTCAACTCATTTACTTCTGAATGAACGCCAAAAAAAAAAAAAATGTATGTAAATTGTGGAAAATACTTTCATTCTTGATTGGCTTGGCGTGTGAAATGTGAACGAGTCAAGGAATATTAAAAAAAAAAAAAAAAATCATTAATTAATTAAATCCCCAACTAATTTGGGCTTTGACTGTTAATTAATTTAATGCTATTGGTTTGACATATTGTTAGGCTTAATAATAATTTAATTTTTTGCTTTCAACGGTACAGTTTGTTACGTACAAATTAATTAGTTTGTTACGTACAAATTAATTACTTGCTCCGAAGTTTCATTTTCAGCGTTTTGAAAATGATCAATGAGAAGGATTAAATAACATGTTAGTTTGCAACCTTTTTTCTCTCGACTGTCTCATTCAGAATTATAGGCTATAATTAAACAAACATGAATGTTGAGTACACATACAATAATATTATTATCTTAAGTATATTAAAACTCAATCTTATTTTCCAAAATTAAAATTACCAAGAATAAATCTAAATTCTATTCGTGTTTCCCCAACATTTTATTATTATTATTTGTTAATATTAATAATAATACTTATAATAATAATGTGAATTGCTATAAAAGTTCAAAAATAATTGACTTGAAAACCAAAAAAAGTAAAAAAAATAATAAATGACAAAGATTGATTCTCCATATGTAGCATTTTATAAATACAGCCCATAATTAAAAATTTTATGGTTTTCCACTTCAAGCTGAGCAGTGTACCACACTATACACAAACTTGGTGTAAAACAAATTCCTATGTCCTTTGCTTCACGGCCACGCAGTTCTATAATCTCTCACCAAAGAAAAAATAATAACAATAATGGAAAATACTACTGTTTCGTTACGGCACCATTCAGTCAAGATTTGTAATCGTTAGATCATCGTATAACTGTCGATGATAGTTGATCTAACAGTTACAAACCGCGACGAAATAGTTCCGTAACGGAATAATAACATCTCCCATTTATAATAATAATAATAAATAAATAAAAACATATGCATCACGAGAAAAAAACTACTGCTAATGTTTTTTTTCCGATGATGGTCCCATCTGATCAAAAACTCTTTCACATGTCACCTTCATTCTTTCAATTCGTACCTTACTTTTTTTTTAAAAAAAAAAAATTACAGCATTTAACATTTTATTATTTCATTTCTTTTTTCAACTCTTTCACACACCTTTAAATTAATCAACCAATTCTATTTATTCCCAGCAACTCTCTTCATCTTACTCCCTCACAATTCACCCTACAACTTCACTTGCCCAACCCAAAATAAAAATAAAAATAAAAATCTCTAGTAACAAATTATTTATTTTCTTTGTCACAAATCAAAATGATTAACTTCGCATTATTCTTCGCATGCTTTTTCTCGTTTTTTTCGCCTTCGTTCGGATATTACGGCGGCTGGATTAACGCACGCGCCACCTTCTATGGAGGCGGCGATGCATCTGGAACAATGGGTACGTACAAATAATAATAATAATAATAATAATTTGATTTTTGATCATAATGAATTATTCATAATCTAAAGAATTATGAATTAAAATGTGGATATATAGGAGGGGCTTGTGGGTATGGCAACTTGTACAGCCAGGGCTACGGGACAAACACGGCGGCCCTCAGCACGGCCCTGTTCAATAACGGGCTGAGCTGTGGGGCCTGTTTTCAATTGGTATGCGTAAACGACCGGAGATCGTGCATTCGCGGCTCGATTGTGGTGACCGCCACAAATTTCTGCCCCCCGGGCGGCTGGTGCGCACCCCCTAACCACCACTTTGACCTATCGCAGCCCGTTTTCCTGCGAATCGCCCAGTACAGAGCAGGCGTAGTGCCTGTTCTTTACCGGAGGTAATTTTTTTTTATTTAATTTTATTATTATTGTTGTTGTTGTGAATTTGATGAATATTTTGAAGAATAGTTAATTCTACTTGTATATAATAATTTTATAAATAGAAGTGTACATTCATGTGAGTGTAGGTAGAAATTATACGTACGTACATGTTAATTTTTTCTCTTATTTGATTGGATATTGGGGGTAGTTAGGGAATTATACCATTTTCACAATATGATTGGAAGTTGAAAAGTTGTTCTACTCTTTATGCTGCAATAACATAGAGGAGCATGCCATAAATTTTGATATAATAACAACTGGAACGATTGTTGGCGTTGTAGTAGTTATTTTGAATTTAGTGAATATTTTGGTTTTGTATATAGTAATTTGGGAAGATGCTACGGTCCCATTACGGAAATATTCCGTCAGGTTTGCAACCATTAGATCAACTATCATCGATTGTTACATGATGATCTAATGGTCACAAACCCAACATAATGATTCCGTAATAGAACCGTAACATTTCTCAATAATTTCTGAATAGAAGTGTACAACATGTGAATGTATGTACAAATTATATATCATGTTGTACATGTTACATTTTCTCTCATTTGATTGGAAATTGGGGGTACTTAGGTAACTATACCATTTTCACAATATGATTGGAAGTTGAAAAAGTCTACTCATTTTGAACATAATAACACGCGTAAAATTTCCTGTTAATGGACACGAAATAGGGTTCCTTGTCGGAGGAGAGGCGGGATCCGGTTCACGATCAACGGCCACTCTTACTTCAATCTCGTGCTCGTGACCAACGTTGGTGGCGCGGGGGACGTGCGCTCGGTTTACATCAAGGGCTCGAGAACCGGCTGGCTGCCCATGTCGAGAAATTGGGGGCAAAATTGGCAGAGCAATTCGAACCTTAATGGGCAGAGCTTATCATTTAAAGTTACAACTAGCGACGGACGCAGTCTCGTTTCTTACAATGTGGCCCCGCGCGGTTGGTCGTTCGGCCAGACGTACTCGGGTAGCCAATTTCGCTAAAAAATAAAATAAAAATAATAATAAATTGTTAATTTATAAATCTAGTTTGATACTTTTGAAAAGAGGGGCTTATTTTGAAGGAGCCTATTTGAGTATATGTACTAAAAATGCGTACTAGCACGTAATAGTGTGTGCATGCTAAACGGGTATTTATTTTTTTTATTTTTTTTTTTTTTATTT